TGGCCAAAGATGGCAAATCAAACCCTCTCTCCTCCCCACCCAAGAAAATGACTGTCCACATTGACACTTCTCTTTCCCCCAGGGGTTTTATATTACTCAGAAAGACTCTCATCTCACGGACAAGAAAGTCCCATCTGTGATGATGGTATCTGTCAGGGACTGGGCTATAGGACATCAAAATGGCAAACTGCATTTACAGAAACCATATTGCCAATAACATCATCAGATAAGTAGTCTTTGTTGGGGTGGGGCTCTTTTTTGTGTGTAACGGAATGTTCTCTTTCAAGTCCTATTGACGGCATACGTAGTTTGCCATTTTGGAAGCACTTTAAAGCTGGGTTTATACAGAGTTATAATTTACAAGGAGAAAGAGGCTTATGGCCCCCTGGGTAATAAGTACTCCGTTGTTCCCAGGTGATTTATTAAAGTTTCCAAGCCTCACCTGAGTACTGGGCTCAAAGAGATAAAGTGGGTTTTACTCATAATATGCACCAAAGCCCAATACTACCAACCTCGTTTATATGAGAAAGTGGAGAGACATTTCAAAGTTGTGAAGCCAAGGCCTCCTTGAAAGTAGGATTCATACTCAGTGTTAAAAAATTCGCTTGCTCATGATGTTCTTTTGCTTTTAAACAAGTTGAAGGAAGGAAGGTAAAGGCTCTGTTCTTTCCTGGCCTCACAAACCTGTGCAATGCCTGATTTGGAGGGAGAAAAAAACTAATTCTATTACTGCAAGCTTCCTGTGCCTCAGATACCGTGCTAAGTGAAAATCACTGAATACGTCATAATCCATGTCACAAAGGGGTGGGGTAGGTACTATGATCCCCTTTCCACACATAAAGACACAGAAGTTGAGCCATTTTAATTTTCCAATTAGGAAAAGAACGTATGAAATATTCCTTGCTTATAGGGACTGCTGACCACCAGGTGCAGGTGGCAAACCCAGGTAGTAGCATCCACTGTTTGACTGACAGTCATATACAACTCAAATGCTACCTGATTTCTAGTCCTGAACCGCAATCACACTAAACCTTCACTTCCAAACTCTCTAACTCACATCCATTTCACATAATTCATTCTTTCACTCTGGAGACCTCGCAATAAAAAACACTTACAAAAAAACATTTACAAGAACTCTTGATCCCAAAAGAAATGAAATACTGAATTCTGACTCAGTTAGACCTGGGTGTGACCCCTCCACGCTGAACTGCTGTGGGCTTTGGCTGCCTCATCTATAAAACTACCCTACAAATTCTTAGATGAATTAAAATATGTGCAATATTATATAATACCCGTGAAAGCACCACATAATTTTAATTGCTATTGCTATTATTATGAATAAACTGACAAAAAAGTAAAGTTACATAGAGGCACGTAGGATGTGTTGTGGAAATTAAATCCGACAGCTGTCTTTGGACCTGGAAATTCTCTCCTGGCGCTGCTAAGCATTCATTCTCGCTGATCTGAGCTGCTTTTGTAAGACTGGAATGGTGCTCTTGCTAACATAGAAAAAAACATCCTGGTTCTCCTCTCTCTCCCTCTCTCTTCCCCCCTCCCCCCCTCTCCCCCCCCCCCCCCTCCCCCCCCCCCCCCCCCTTCATTCCTCTTCACAGATTTTCGCTGCCTTACACTTTTGGGAAAATGACATCTGAGTCTGATGTGGAACAGAACTCCCAGATCGTGGCATTCCCTCTTAAACCTAGCTGTGCTGTCCTTTTAGTAGCCAAAATTGAAATGCTCTCTCAAATGGAAGGTACACATGCTACAGCCCCAGCAGTTAGTTAAGCCTGGTCAAGTGGACCCCCAGTCCCCTCTGTTGACAGCTTCATCACAACCAAGTGATGAGTGCAGAGCCATCAAATACACGAAAACCAGGGCTCTGTATTTTAACAAATATAGCCACTCAGGCCCAGGCAAAAAAAAAATGCCTTGGGTACAGTTAATTTGGGGAATGGGGAGGGAGAGGGTTGGAATCTTTGGTTACCAAAGCACTAAGCACCAGAGTGTTCCTGAAAGTCAAGGCTACCAAGTGAAATGCAGTCACTATAGGCCAGACCTACCACCAAAATGTTCCTTCTGTAAAGTGTTTACACTGCAGATTTTTGCTGACCTTTTCTAGTCATGAAGTCCACCCCACCAATGCATCCATCACGGATGCCTGGTGACTCAGGAAGAATTAGTACCCATTTACTGGGTAGGGTAATTCATCCCAAGATAGAAGAGAGGCGCTGGGAATGGGTCAGTTTTTTAAATTTTTTTTTAAATTTAAGATGTAGTAGGTTCTATGATCAGAGGGTTATGTTCCTTTTGGTAAAAGCTCAGTCGTGAGTAAATTAAAACTGCAAATCATGGAAACAGAAATGAAAGACCCACTAAACTCTCCCTGAGCCGCAATTATTCAACCTTAGTGCACTGTATACCTATACCTCTTAAGGCTGCTAAACTGTGGCAACTGTGAGTCATAATTATATTATTAATCAGAATTAGGACGTACATGGATACCACTGAACGTGTAGTTGTTTTAGGAGGGAGGCCACCTTGGCCCTGGAGAAAGTACAGTCTTTGAAAATTAAGTTTATGGATGTGTAAATGTAGAGTCCATAATGTTGCAACTCTGCAACATTAATGTCTTCATACAGTGCAAATTAATGCAGAGCCTAACTAGGCATTTGGAACGCTAACCTAGTTTTCTGTGTTTAGCTAATAGCTGGCAATTTTGCTTACACTTTTATCCTCTCGTTACGTAGCAATGATGATCATTTAGTAAATACATGTGAAAGGCCACATACTCCATAGCACCTCTTCTTGGTTGGAAATAACCCCTTCCTAATACTTGCATTTATATAATTTAGTTACTGATACACCAAGTCAAGTGCAGCTGTGATAAGGAGCCCACTAGTGCCGCTTTTGGAAGCTAAGAACAGACCCATTCTCAAAGGGTTCCTTTGTAATGGCCTGACCAAATAAATGCAGAGTAGGGGTGGGAGACAAAGGACTGTGGGGGGTCCAGAGCCTCAATGCTGTTAACCCTTTGTAAACCTTAAAGGGACTCAGTTGGCTTCTCTGCTTTGCAAATTATTTATGACGGTGAAGAAAGGTAAGGAAAGGCTATTTTCTAACTAGTGAAATATTAAGGAACGAGAGAGTTTGGAATAGACATGTAGAAGAGAAAGACGTAAACTGTGATCTTCTAAGGTGCCATCCAGTCCATTCCTGGACATATGACTGATATCAGCCCTCACAAGTCACCAGGGAATGTTTCCTTTCAGACGCAGAATGGGGTAAAACAGGTCCCACTGGAGGATTTGGGGTGGTCCCAGGGTACTTTTTCTTGTCTCTAAAGTATTACAGAGGCAAAATCCTTAGTTTGGTGGCAAAGCCCCAAACAGAAGGATTCTGAATTCAAGATTCCCCATTCCTGCCCTAGGAAGAGAAAGTTGACACTGAGCAGTGGTATTTGGAACGAGGTCCAGGGTGTGCACAGACAAGGATTTTGAAGATCCAGAACCAGAACTAGCTTAGAGGGTGGGGATTGGCTGGGCCAGGGAAGATGCAGGAAACAGGTCCCTCCACCTCAGCGCTGCTCAAACCTGTCTGCTCACAGGGGCAAGGTTCCTGTTCTCCTCTTTTGGTGGCTTCAGCGGGAAGTTGGCCGAGTCCCCAATTCTGCAGAGGGAATGCAGGCTGAGGGGAGCGCTGGGAATGGGTCCTACCCTAGGCACTTTAATGACAGGTGTGAAGGGAAATGGGGTAGACACTCTCAGTGGGAGGAGACACTGAACCGAACTGGGAAATACTGCCGATCCTGGGGCTTTTTCTCATGGCTCCCCTCCACACAGCCAACTCCCTGCACCAACAAAGACACTGCTTGGAAATCAGAATCCCCTCCAACACGCAGACACACAGGCAGGCAGGCACAAACCCTACCCGATTCACCTCATCAACTCCTGAAACCACAGACTGACATAAGTGGCCTCAGGTCAGTGAGGCTGAGCTACCATTCCACTGGGAGTTAGGAAAGGCTACCGTCTAGAGTGGTATTTCCCACAGAGTGTCGTTTCAGGCAGGCTTGGCTTTTACTTGATGTGGAGCATGGCATGCTAGCATGTTTTAGACCACCAGTTCTGATGTGCTTGGGGAAGGCACGGAGGACCTCCACATCCCTCTCGTCCCTGCTGGTGGCACTCTCCAGTCCCGCATCCTCCCGCAGTCTCTTGAAAGTGCCTAGATACCAGGGCAGGGCTCTGCGTCCATTTTGCCTGCCTGGAACCTCCGAGTTTGGGAACTTTGAAAGCCAGGGGATGGGGGTGGGGGTTGCCAAGGCTCAGATTTGGGGGCCAGAGTTCTCAGCAGGAAAGCCGTTGAAAATCAACACCCATCTGCCTCTTGTTTCTCATCCCCACCCCTTCTATGTTCCAGGACTCCTAACAGATAATAACCATCTCTCTCTCTCTCTCTCTCTCTCTCTCTCTCTCTCTCTCTCTCTCTCTCACACACACACACACACACACACACACACCCTTGGGCTTAGAAGGTTTTTCATTCTCAAGGCAGCAAACCCTCAGAACTGAAAGGATCTCTGCCACCCCCCCTTCCCCTCCCACCCCGCGAGGCTACTTGAGCGCCTACACACAATAAAATCCCACACGTTCCCAACAGCACAACAGAACCCCAACCCGCCAGGGGTTCCAGCGCGTCCCATACCTGATATGCAGACGATGAAATTGGCTTGAAGAAGAAAAAGCACCTCCCAGACTATTTCCATCCTCTGATTCTCATTCCAAGTGCATCACTCGACGGGAAAACAGGGGGGGAAGGGGAGAGCCCGACACGGCACACACACATACAAACACGCACACACTTGCGAGCGAGCGCACACTCGCACTCCCACCCGACAGCCGGCCAGGGACAGTCACCCCCAAGATCAATATCGCAGTTTGAATTGTTCCGGCAAATCTCCCCTCGGGCTCGACGGATGTGCGCCCCAGATGTGCTGACACATGTCCGATGCTTCGCTGCCCCGGAGGTGTCCCCGATCGCCGGTCTCCGCTCCTCCTCGCACGAGAGGCGGAAACAGCACTAGCAGCGGCGGCGGCAGCCACCTGAAGCCACCAGCGCCGGGCTCTTCCTGCAAAAACGAGACCCCGATCCGCCTGGCGCCCCAAGAAGACATAGACGATAGCCCCCCGCCGGGCCGCGCTGCACAGTTCCGGGCCCCCGGCGCTCGCAGCTCGCTGGCTAAGCCCAGGCAGTCCGCGACAAGTTGCCCTCGAAGTCCGCCCCCCTCACCGGGGCATGGTCAGAGGCCGGCTGCCGCGCTCCGGGGCCGCTCTCCTCCTGCTTCCGGGGGGCGGGGGGAGGAGACGCCACCGCAGACAGGGAGACAGAGAAAGAGAGGCAGGAATTATTGCCCGAAACCGCCGGCAGGCTCCGCCGACCCTCCCTGCTCCCCAAGTCGCGCGCAGCCCGCCGCCTCCGAGTCCGGCTCGGGCGGCGCATCCAGGGCGCCAAGCGCCGAAGGCGGGGAGCCGGGGACCCGGGCGCGTCGGGGGCCCGCGGGCTCCCCACGTCGCGCGCGCGCTTTCGGTCCCTCTGCTATTTTCCTAGGCTCCCCGGAACCCCCGTTGCCTCGCTTCCATCGCCCGCAACTAGCACCGCCGCCGCCGCCGCCGCCGCCGCCGCCGCGATTTTCCGCAATGCAACTGCAGGGGTCGTTATTTCCTCGCCTACGGAGCCCGACGCTGCCCGATTCGGAGGGGAGGAGGAGGGCAGGTGGGGCGGGAGGAGGGGGAGGAGGGGGCGGCCCGGCCAGGTGAGCGTCCCCGCCGCCGCCAGCCCCCGCCGCAGCCCCGCCGCCCGGCGCCCGGGGGCGGAGGCAGGAGGCCGGGCTGGGGAGCCCAGGCTTAGCGCGGCCATAAGGAGGAGGCGAGGGCTGGGCGTCGGAGCCGCGGGCCAGCGCGGAGGCGTCTGGGCCCCGGCCGCTCGGTCGCCCACCAGGACTGGGAGTTTCTCATCTCCTTGGAAAGAACTTCGCGCCCGCCGCTGGGGCGCGGGAGACCCGGGCGGGACTCAGCCGGGGCGCTGTGATGCGCTCTCCCCCTGCTGCGGAATAGTGGGGATTTTTTTTTTTTTTTTTTTTTGCATAATTCATTCCCTGCCCTCTCCCGCTCGTCCCTCTCCTGCCCCCCCCCTCCTCCTTCCCCCTTTCCGCTCCAGTGCCAGAACACTACTTACCCCAGAGTTCTCCTCTCTGTACGTTCCTAGACCAGGTGCAACTCTCGCCCGCGAGTCCCTCACCTCCCTCCTCCCCGAAGGGGGAAAAACCGTCTTTCCAAGTCCGGGTGCGAGCAGTGGCCGCCGCCAAACTGCGCCTCCGCTCAGCTCCGGGCGGATCCGAGACTATTGGAAACCCGGGCTTGAGGGGAGCCGGCTTCCCTTCTTTTCGGTTTTTTTTAGTCTGCTTTTCTTTCGGGAAGCTCAAGTGCTTTGGAGGCTTTTGCTGGGCTCCAGAATACTCTCTGCCAGCGATACTCAGCTGCTTCCACCGAAGGAGATTTCCCCACCAAATCCGCGCGCGCGCGCGCACACACACGCCCAGCGCGCGGCTTTCCGAGTCCCGCGGGGAAGGTGGGGGCGGCGTGAGCACCACCCACCGCCGCGGCCGAGGCCCAGGCCCGAGGCCGCGGGTGCGCAGAACGACTCGCCGCGACCCGGGGAAGGACGTGCGTCCGGGCGGCCGCTTGGAATGCAGATGCGGGGGAATTGGGAGAAAACCCTGCGCTCGGGACTGTTCGCCCGAGAAGAGGGCTGGGAGCGAGAAAAGAAAAGAAAAATTGTAGCACATTTGCATCGCCTCTCTCGCCGCAGCAGCGGGTAGAGAAAGCCCCAGACCTACCTCTTTGGGAGAGCTGGAGAAGAGGAGGGCAGGGGAGGGGAATCCCTGGAAAGATCTCGGATTTCTCGGCGCACTTGTCCGGATTGCAAACTGTGACGTTTGGAGATCTTGCACAAGCGCGGATGGACACACACAACAAACACAAACACACACGTAACCCGCAGGGTATTTTTTGCACTTTTTAATTTTTCGTGTTTAGAAGCCATTTCCGTGTGAGTCTCGGTCTACTCACCGCAGAAAGGGCGGAGGAGTGGAGAGGGAGCAGGAGAGGGAAAGAGGGTACCGTGCCTCCGCACAGAGTCAATTTAGGGAGGCTTGCAGGCTGTGTGGCATGGGAGGGCGGGCAGGGTTGGAGCCAAAGGAGTAACACTGCGGCGCTCCAGGCTTCTTGAACCAACTTCAACTGCCCTGGAGTCTGGCGGGTCTTTTTGCGGAGTGGTAGGCGTGGAGGTGGGGGTAGGGGTAGGGGTGGGAGGGAGCGGAGCCGAACAGCCTGGGCTGCCTGGGTTGGACAGACTTGGGGAGTTGCGTAGCCCTGCTACCTCTGGGGATTGGCAAAAGGAACCGCCGGCTGACTTGAACAAGGAGGTGTGGCCAAAGGATCTGTTCTCCGGTGACGGCCAAGGACTTGAGGTGGTCAGCATATGGAAAATCCCGGCCCAGATGAAGAAAGTCCAAGATTCTTACGGGGGGGGGGGTCCGCCGAGGCTCGGCGGGGAAGTCACATTTAAAGAACCTGAGATAGTGGGAATTAGCACATTTGGGAAATATGTGGGGGATGTTTGTCTCCGTGCCTTGAAAGTCGACCGCGCGAAAAGAGATTTTTGAAGGGAAAGAGAGGAAAGCATTTTACCAAAGATGAAGAAATCCCACCCTAGCAGGGTTTGGAAACATGGGCAGTGACTGACCTTCTGCACTTGGGAGTGGAATTGGCTGCCAGCAGGAGACCTCTCTCTGGAAGCAGAAGCGGGGCGCCTGGATTTTTATACCACGACCCATTTATTTATTAATGAATTGTGCATATATTAAGCGAGCGCCTTATACGTGGCAAGCACTGTGGCGAGATGCTGGAGTTTCCTAATTGAAAAATCCATAAACCTTTCTTTCAGAATGCTTACAGGCCATATTCTACATTTTGCCTTAAGAGCCAATGCCAGTAAAATAATACTTAACCCCCCCCCCCCCTTTTCGACGGGGGCAGCGACCTTCTGTACTCTCAAGGAATAGTTAATCTATGCTCTGCCACCAAGTCCTTTCAATAAAAAAAAAATCAATTAATTTGATAGTATTTAAATAAAAATGGTGGCACGCATCAATTTTTTTTTGCTATGTGTCATGTATTGCCAAATCCTTTTGTCATTACATCTATATGAGAGAAATATCATTATTACTTCCATTTTACAGATGATGAAAGAGAGCCCCAGAGTAGTTATTTGCCCAAGGTGTCACAGTTATTAATTGGTAGTGTAGAGGCATTTCTACAGGCATTTCAAACTCAGAGGACATGCCCCACCAACTCCCTTCATGCTCTCTCTGCAAAATGAAAAGTATCATCCTGGGGAGCTTATTTTGTATTTAGGTAAAGCAGGAGCCCTCACTAGACACAGCTAGAAATTAAACAAAGGCGGGGTGAAATGTAATGGCATCTTATGCAGTTGAGAACTTCACTACTGTAGAATTAAGAGAAAGACCAGATCACTGGGATTTAGAGGTAATCAAAGGCATTTCTAATGAAAGAATCCAAGAGCCTGCTAACTGCCGATTCTGTTCTCCACACTTGGAAGATAGCTCTGAACACAACGGTTCCTCAACATTTAGTTTCAATATTCTCATTTCCTAGAAGAAAAAAAAAAACTTTTTTTAGTCATTTCTAGGCTTAACCTGTATGTCTTTTTAAGAAAATCTCCATGTTAATCCAGAAGATAACTCAGAAAAAGCATGCACTACTAAGTAGGAACCTTCTGTCTTCACTCTTTACTGAACTGTTTATTTTTTTAGTCTCTAAAACAAAAGAAATGAAAAAATAAGTCTATGTAGCTAGGAATATTAATTCACAAGTTATTTTTCATATTTTAATGAGCTTGTGCCCATATCTGATAAGGACAAAGAATCTCTCTCCTGTATATCTGCCTTCATCTTTTGTCTCTGTCCTGCTCTACATTTCTTCCCTATGAATTCAGTGCCAATATGTTACACATATAACAGAAAGTCTTCGCTAAGCCCAGGTGTGGGGGCCAGTTCCGGTTTCCCATGGAAAGCAGTGGATTACAATTCTCCCCAGGAAAAGACAATATTGAAATCCTTTGGATTCTTTGCCCATGCTCTCTTTTTGTCAACCCCATAGAAAGAAGAGTGACTTACCTGATTGGTAAAATTTTGAGGAGCTTGATAACCATTAAGGCACATTCCCCAGAGTCTGGACATCCGTATTAGAAGCCAAAGCAGGTCCATGTGTCTCGGTGAACCTGCGTTCGGGCTCACTATTTCACTGGTCTCCATCCCACATCTAACTTGGAAAGAATAGTGGTTGCCTAAGAGGGGTGGAGGAATGGAGAGGGTCAGGAGGGTGGGGTTACAAAGGATAAAAAGGAAACTTTTTAGAGTAATGGATATGATCAGTATCTTAACTGTGTTGGTGGTTTATGGGTGTATAGATATGTCAAAAGTTATCAAATTGTGCACTTTAAACATGTGCAGTTGATTTTATGTCAATTAAATCTCAAGATTATCCATCCAGATGGATGGTTCACTTTTGCAAACGTAAGTCAGAGACTGTAATCATAAATAATCATAAATAGATACATTTAATAAACCATGGCTGGGCCAGGCTTGGAACTCATCCTTCGTGTGTTGTTATGGTTCTATGTGAATTGTTACTTACTACCAAATTGCTCAGACTTTGCGAAATGTTAAAAGTTAAAGGAGTTTTTCTTTCTTTAGTTTGGAAGCTATTAGGTAAAGTGGTGGTTCTGACACTGTATCTGTATCTTTGTTTTACAGGTATTGGAATATGATGTCATGAAATCATCCTCTTGGGAACATAGGATAAACTCTCCTTGTATTAAGTGGGGAGTATTCCCTTAAAGGCAATGGAAATCATTCATTCAGTCGTTCCTGGAGAAAGGCAGATCTTGGAGCGGAAATGAAAACTTAGGAGATGCGTCTTAGAGGGAGTTGACCAAGGAATCCTTTTCTTCAGAGTTAGTATGAGAGGCAAAGGAGTCTGTACGTTCAGGAGTGTGTTTAACGGTGATGGGAAATTGCATTCTGCCACTGAGACACAGGCTACGAGCTACCTGGGGAGGAAGCCTTTCGGTAAGGCATGAACATACCAGGAGCAAAACCAGTAAGATTGGCATGTAATTCTGTTATCTGAGAGCAGTCATATCTAGTAACCAATTAAAAGTTAGTCTCTGAATGTTTTCCCTTTCTGCTATCCCTTCAGATGACTATTGATGAACGTGATAACGTTGTGTGGGAAAATCTCTGTGCCAACACCCAATGCAGCCATTCCAAAACCAATATGGAGATGGTATCAGAAGCAGAAGCAAACTCTTGGTGGTACCCCAAACTGCAGAGTGTGATGGACAGTGACACAAAGAGCAGCCCGTTGGCAGACCAGAGAGCTATGTGGGTGGTGGTAAAGAGCCTGGTGATAACATGGATTGTGAGCAGAGATGCCTTATCCCCTCAGGGACTCTTTAAGAGTTAGGGGGAGACCTGAAAAGGGGTGGGGGGCAGGACTCTGCTCTCCAGTGGGCAGGTTGAGGCCATGAAGCAGTATGTTAGTGTCCTGTTGCTGTTGTGATAAATTAGGATAAACTTAGTGGCTTAAAACACACACTTTTTATCCCGTGGTTCTGAAGGTCAGAAGTCTGAAATGAGTCTTCTGGGGCTATAATCAAGGTGTCTGCAGGACTGTGTTCTTTCTGGAGGCTCAAGAAGAGGACCCCATTCCTTGCCTTTTCCAGGTTCAAGAGGTCATGTGCATTCCTTGGCTCGTGGTTTCTTTTCAGCAATGGCTTTACTCCAATCTCTGCTTTCGTCTTTATTCCCTGTTTTCCTTCTAAGGACTCTTGTGGTTACACTGGGTGGGCCCACTTACATAACGCAGGGTTGTCTCTCCATCTCAAAACCCTTCACTGAAGGGCATCTAGAGAATCTCTTCTGCCATATGAGGTAACATACTTGTGGATTCTAGGGATTAGGTGGGGGTGG